TGGTGGCGTTATCAGAAAGCGAAGAGCACCTACCGTTTTTTGGTTGGGCGGAGTCATCGTTGCCATGGAAACAACATTTTTGTTCGAAACATTCTAGAACCTGTAACTTCGTGCCTTTTTACCCGATTGTCAGAAATTTATATTTGCTTTAAAATTAAATTTTAAAAATTTAAAAATAAATATTAAATTTATATTTGTATTTAATTTATCATATTAAATTTATTAGATTGTAATCAAAATATATATTATTATATATATCATATATATATTAGGACATGTTATATCGGCCCTGTGTCGCAAATTCCATGACAATCGGGTAAAAACAGCCACAAGTTTACCAGGTTCTTACAATATTTCCACAAAAATGTTTGTTACATGGCAAACGATTGACTCCGCCCACACCAAAACGATATGGCGTCTTCGCCTTTACCATAAACGCACCTTTCATCGCCAAATTTTGAAGACATGATCCGATGATCGGGTAAAAACTGCCCACCGATGGTCACTTCGACCTTTATTTCACCTTTACCTTCGACCTTGATCATATTTCTCTTCGCTCTCTAACTTCAGCCCCTAACCTGACCTAGCGCGGACCAAACTTGTATGCTTACACATCTTGGGGAGCAACGGTCTGTCGCATACCAAAACCACCACTGCCTTGACCTGTATGTTGACCTTCACCGTCGACTTACATTTCCTCTCGGCCTCCTAGGTAACCAGATTCCAGTATACTTTGCACATCTGAGGCCACACCAGTTGTCTAACAAACCTTTGTCTTTGTGACTTATTTACCTGCCTTCTACGTCCTTGCAGAGATATTCTATTCATACTAAATCACGGGGGATACATGTAGTTGGCGACAACTGCTCGTTTCTAGTTATTTACAGAAATATCGTCGTCCCGCATTTCTGCATTCAGCTGTTGTCTAATTACCAGCAAAGACGACGCATATGACAAGATTGCACGATACCATGGTAACACGGAGACATGACATGACGACAGGGTCACAAGACGCCATCGTGACACGAAGCAAGACGCTCTGGGGACAACAAAGGCAGCTCACGTCGCACGGGGGTGAACCGAGTACCTCCCCCGGATCTACGCGAGGACACGGACACCGGGTCGAGGCAGGCAGCAACAGCAGCAGCAGCAGCGGCGGCAGCGGCGGCGGCAGCCGCGGAGGCGATAGCGGCGGCGGTGGCGGCACATCACAGCGTCTCCGCTGACGCTTGCTCGCCGGCTGGGCGTCGTGGCATCACAACACGCGGTATCGTCAGCTCACGTCGTCTGCATGGGCGGCGGCTAGCTGCGGTCGCCGGCTTGTCATTATCCCTCGTAATTAATGAGTACAGGCCACGCCACAGCAGAAACACACATTAGATACACACTACACGCGCGCGCAACATACACACACGCGCGCAACGCACACCCACACGCACACACGCACGCACGCACGCACGCACGCACGCACGCACACACACACAAGCGCGCAAAACATAGACACAGACACGGGCAAAACACAGACACGCACACGCGCAAAACACAGACACGCACGCGCGCGTGCATGCATACAATGATTACGTTCACACACGTCAACTGACACACACATAAACACACATGCAGTGATTACACTCACGAATGCACACATAGAGAGAGAGAGAGAGAGAGAGAGAGAGAGAGAGAGAGAGAATGGGGAAGGGGAGAGATGAAGAGAAGCGAGAGCAATATCACACCTTTTCCGATTTACGACTCCCCCCCCCCCTCTATACAAGATGCTGGCCATATCGAGAGAGAACCCCACAGAGCTGCAGGCTTCACGCGCGCACACGTACCGGCTCTAAGCTTCCTGTCAAACAAACGTGCCGTCGTCATAATTGCCTGCGAGGATGTAGGGTTGCCGAAGACAATGACAAGCACGCTGCCCCACTGCTGTAGCAAGTAAAATAAGCGTGCGCGCGTACGTGTATTCGTGCGTGCGTGCGTGCGTGCGTGTGTGTGCGTATGTGCGTGAGAAAATGCGTGTGTACGTTGTGTGCGTGCCTACGTGTGTGTGCGTGTGTGCCTATTACGTCTGCTGTTGCCTATTACAATGAAAAGTTGTGACCACAACGCATGCACAGACGCCACATACTCACTGGAATGTATGCAGGCGAACTCGGTCCTAGAGTCTTCGTCGGGGTGCCGCTGAGGTCGCCCGTGCTGCCATCTCGCGGCGATGACTGCAACGTGCCATTCTGCTGCTTTTGGCTGACGATTCGCGTCGCTTCCTTCACCTCTTTGAACTTTTCGATGAACTAAAAGGTAAATCAATTCACTGAACATAAATGCATAAATTTGAGGTGGTCAGTTGTAAAACAAACAAAAACAAAATGGTCTTAATTTGGTCTCAACGGTGCAGCAAACACCGCATGGACATTTTCTGAAAAGGTTTTGCGTATGGGCAAGCGAAGCAAGCAAGCAACTACACTGGGCGAGAGTAAAATAATTGCGAGAACAAGTAGGACACCATAGTTTTTCGTTAATTGCATGGCTATCGTAGATGATTTGAACACACGACTCAGACGAACTGTACAATTTTGTAATGAACAAATAGTGATTAATAAAATGTTATAGTTTGCTTAATAATAGAGTCACTACTGCCCGTCCGTTACGTTTATGTAATTAAATGTGTACATCATGGCATGCATGTCATGTACACTGTAAGTCTGAGGCGGCAAGAACGCGCATGCGCAATAGCACAGCTTAAATACAAACGCTGCTACCGTGGCACTGCCTCTTTCAGGATATTTAAATATGCGGAGCAAATATTGCGAAACCCGCAATACCGAGAACAACGAGCCGAAACTGCGAAGAATGTATTAAACATGCATAAATTTAAATGGCATTTCTTCAAACACAGACCGGCTCGCCGATAGGCTACACATTAACAGAGTTAATCCATTACCTCTCTATTATAAGAGCACGAACCGAGCTACGCGCCACGTCTTCCCGTGCGTAGCTTTATTTATAACTGCGATATTATTGTATCCCCCGAACGAAGTTCGTGGGGGATACTATGGGTTTGGCATCGTCGCGCCGCCGCCGCCGCCGCCGCCGCCGCCGCCGCCGTAGAGATTTCCTTGTGAACGCTCTACCGGCTGCAGTTCTTCTCGGATCATCTTCAAATTTCGAATGAAGGTGCGTTATCGTAAAGCGAAGACACCTACCGTTTTTGGTGTGGGCGGAGTCACCGTTGCCATGGAAACAACATTTTTTGTCGAAATATTCTAGAACCTGTAACTTCTGCACTTTTTACCCGATTGTCATGAAATTTATATTTGTATTAAAATTAAAATTTA